CGGTCGTTTCTCCTGAAAAGGGGAACCACTTCAACGGGGTAGCTGGGTCCTTTCGAACAGTTCACTGGGGGATTCTTTTCAAAGTTTTTAGCGCCGAGCACATAAGCGATATCCTGGCGTGACTGGAACCAGGGTTTTACAGGACTACTTGGCGCACTTTTCGTGCCATGGTTGCCGACGATGGCGGAGAGACAGAACGATCAGAGAATAGTGCGCCTTGGTTCGGCTCCAGAACTCAAGGAAGGAAGCCCCGCCCGGCTGGGAGAGCCTTAGGACTAAGCCTTGTAAGGGGGAGGGAATCCGAGGTGGGTGAGCCAATTGCATTGTGGCAAAAGTTTGAATGTGTGAGATCGCAGTGGTGATCAGCCGCTGATAAGATGAGAGAGCGCAGACGAAAGCGTCGAGTGAGGCAGCTTAAAGGGCCGAGTTCAAGTAGTGGCCGGACGCATAGTCGGTCGGACGACAGCAACGACTGCAAGTGTCGCACAGCATTGGATGCGTATCGATCGTCGGACTTGCCTGAGTATTCGACGATTAGATGCAGTCAGACAGTCAGACAGTTGCGACCGTTGCTGTCGGACGACCGACTATGCGTGCGCCCATTGCCGATCACCCGCGAACATATGCGCTGGAAGCTTGCTAATAGCTGGTAATATTCGTAGTGAAGTCGCATTCAGATGTTACCAAGTATGAATGCCATTATAGTTGACACGAACGTAGTAAGCGATTCAGTGAACCGAAACTTCGGTCTGATTCTCCCTCATTCTCATTTCTCTACCATGATACTCTGGAAGGAGTTCCACAGCAACGGTACCAGTTGAGTGATCGAAAAAAGAAACGAAATATTCTTGGATACAGATAAAGAGAGGTGAGGTACAAAAAAGATTAAACGTGAGCGATCCCAAAGTGGTAGCACATAGTATACTTTGAATCTCAATAAGAATTACTAGAAATAGTGAAGGACAGTCGATTTTGAGAAGCGAATGAAATAATGAATCGCGATACTAGAAGAACCGCCTTCGAGAGCAACACGCCATAATGGACCGAAAAATTGTAGGAAAAGGAAAAATGGAAGAAAATTTTAGGCTAGAGAATTAAAGGGATTTCAGGCTAGCAAACCAACAAGGAAAGACGTCATCGAAAGTGAACTCAGCAGTGCCGCTAAAAAGAAGCGTTTGTTCAGGTAGGCAGTCGTGATGAATAAACCGTTCTGTAAAGCAAAGAGACCGGACAGAGGGGGCTATACGAGCCGCCATTTTCTACGAGGCGGAACGTAGGCAGTTTCGGCAAAACATTCAGCGATTCATCGAATCATAGACCTCATCGCATCGTCGCCCTTTTTTATATGCGTCCAAACTCAAAACTCAAGCCGCGTTTACAACCCTGGGAAGCGACGAGGCCACGATCGTTTGGGCTTTGACGCATGGTTTTGATTAAGCAATGCTTGCGGATCCTTTGTGTAGCACTGGGAGCGACTGAACATCAACGGGAGCCACATTCACAAACCATTCACAAACACAAATAAGAATAAATGAATAAAAAATGAGGCAATTCTGACTTTGAGTAGTTTCACAACATACCTAACTATCTGCCATTCAACGATGGGAACTACTGCGTTATCTCTTTTTCAACAACACCCCTTGTACCCTCATGTGTGCGATACGATCCAACAAGCAAACACAAACGAAAAAATGCAAACAAGAAGAACTTGCGCGGCGACAAGCGGTAAAAACCGACCGCCCCCTGAAACGAGCACCATCCCACCATTAACGAACTCAGTCATACAAAAGTCGAGCAAGTCTCCAACTGATGACTCTGTAAGTTCAACATTAAATCAATTTTCTTTTTGGGTCCTGGGTGAATCTCGACACGAAAAGCGGACAACGGATCTACGGTGTCCTGCTCATTTGTACATCACGCCTCAAGTAACACGACTGGGTACACAAAATGACATACGCACTTCTAATGGTTAGCGTATTTGCATATCGCTGGATCTTTTCGAAATAGGAAGAAGAACCCAGTACCAGTGAGATTAACATGCTATATGATTGACTATTGCTGCAAACAGGTGAGTGCAGCACAAGTCTTCGACTACCCAACATATAGACAGGGATAAACTGACTGGCGGGAGGAAGCGATGCTGTGGTTCTCGTGCTAACCTGGTGCTAGGAATATTTGACGAATAAGTAATCGCAAATAATATCTGACCTCTCAGAAAAGAGGCAGAAATTCGCATCTACATCTCGTGAGAAAGACGAGTGAACTTTTCAGAAATCGTGGACGCTGAAGCGTCGGACACAACACAGAGGAGGACCCTCATGCGCTCGATTACGTTGAGCATAAAGATTCTACTTTTTGCGCACCGAGAACCCGTGTAAATGATATGGTAGTCATGATAAATTCTATTTTGCGCTTCCAAGGAACCTAGATTCACTATCTGAACAGTGAGCAACTATTACAGCAAGACAGCACCAAGGTGAAAGCTATTGCAAAGAAATAGTACACGCTGGTGAAAGGTAATCTCGTCCGAGCAATGTGGCATTTTTTACGACTCCTAATCGTGGGATCGTTGAAAACTGGCAGTGAAATACTGTACATAACATCAACTAGAACTGGTTGGAGGGACACACACACCCTATTCTAATCGATATTTTGGCCGGAAGGATACAGCTCCAGCTTTCATCCGGCTATAGACACCACGCTTCCACTAGGAGATGGGCGACGATTCAAAAGGCGTGGGGGGGCTCTGCCTGCAGTAGGCTACTCCAACATCAACTACTGCTTAGAGGTACACGTTTCTATGAGCTACTTGGACTCTGCGGGCAAACATTCCACCATTTCTTGTGTACCGCTACCTCTGCGACCACAATACCATGGGTACAACCAGTAAGTCTGCGCACATGTTTCCGCGAATTTCGCCAACTCTTGTGAATGAGCCATTACTAAAACAATACACAGTATTCGTAAAACATCTACATGCACCTAAGCCTTTATATGCAACACAGGATGAGTGACTCCGTCCCGGCAGTTCAAGGCGCAAAATACGAGCTATGCCGCGCTTCCACTAGTTTGCTTGGAATCTTTAAGCACTAGGACTTACTCGAGAAAGTTGATGGCACCGCCAAGAAATAGCATGGCGCGACGCTATGGTAGCTTGCATGGCTAACAAGGTGACAGCCTGGCTGAATAAGACGGAGATTGATAGAGGACGCAGCGCTTTTCTGACCTTTCTCAAATAGAGAAGCGACCAGACGACGCCTAGGTTTTATATGAACCGCTGGCAGCAGGTTCGTCCAGTGTGGATGCAGCCCCAACTAAAAATGACTGTCCGCCTGATTCCTGTGTAATCCATAGGGATCGTTTGTAGATAGCCACAGACCTATCATCAGCTTTAATCGATGGATTAAGTAGCTAGTAAGAACTAGACCAACTTCGTTCCTTATCTTCACCTTTTAGATTTACTTCCACTCACATCATCCAGCTGCCATAATCTACAGCTAGCGATTAGAAGGAGCTAATGTCGGCTGTCAATTTGCTGAAAGTGGCTGCAAAGTCACATTAGCTCTGCGGCCAGCGCTCAATAGCACGCTATGCGTGGCTGCACGGGAGCGCTATTCTTGTCACTGCGATATCAAGGCTATAATCACCTTCATATTCAAGCTTCAGACCAGAGGAACAGACAATGCAGAGAATGATTAAACACAATGGTAATTGCTGGTCGACCATCTGACGATGACCTGAGCCAATATTTCATCTACATTCTGAAGTAAAGCCATTTGAAAGAACGTTTGGCTCGAATGAAACTGATGAAAGGCCATCTAAATCTGGTTGACTGGCAGAACTCGATGCTCTGCTCTCTCTCACGTTCAGTTTCAATCAGCTGACGGAAGGCTTGCATGTCCCGGGCGGAATCCGATTCCACGGAAATGCAGTTCAATGAACATTGCCTTTCTCCTGCCTCGTCCAAGAAGAATTTCCAGAATTTCAATCGAAAGCTCTACCTTAAAACTCGGCACCTTGGTGAGCAACCTTTCATTGCTCCTATAATAGACAGTTTGCCAATCTGATTTTCTGTCCAATTCTTCACCAGTAGACTCATCTGAGTTGACAGGCGCCATATTCGACTCTCCATGAACTTCGTCATGTTGATGATGAGTAGTTACGGGTGGGGTTCACTAGGACAGAAAGCGACTTTTCCGCTTTTCGTAGCGTCTAGCGTTTTCGCCGAGAGAT